CATGGCCAGCGTGACGAAGCTGCTCTGGCGAGCCGGCACCAGCGCATCACACGGAAACGCCGTTTACCTTGCCGCTATTAAGCGGTACCTATGGCGCTGTGGGTAAAAGCCTCAGCGCCTAGGGCTTGCCGATCGAAAGGTCAGCGGTTCGAATCCCCGCGGCGGGGTGCGCTCCTGTTGTTCGGTCCCAGCGCCTGCCAACCTAGCAGTTCGAAAGCACCCCCGGGTGCAAGTAGATAAATAGGGACCGCTTACTAGCGGGAAGGTAAACGGCGTTTCCGTGTGCGGCTCTGGCTCGCCAGAGCAGCGATGTCACGCTGGCCACGTGACCCGGAAGTGTCTGAGGACAGCGCTGGCCCCCGGCCTCTTGAGTGAGATGGGCGCACAACCCTAGAGTCTGTCAAGACTGGCCCATACAGGCAGGGGTACCTTTACCTTTTTATTTATCTACTTGCACTTAAGGGCGCTTTCGAACTGCTAGGTGGGCAGGAGCAGGGACCGAGCAACGGGAGCTCACCCCGTTGCGGGGATTTGAACCGCTGACCTTCTGATCAGCAAGTCCTAGGTTCTGTGGTTTAACCCACAGCACCACCCGCGTCCACCATAGACAGTAGATTGAGACAATTTAAAGTCCAAAGCTTTAGGAGCAGTGCTTTTGTTCCGGGGGGTACTCAAAGGTATGCAGCTACCAGCACCTCTTTTTGTTGTTGTTGTTAAGAAGTGTGGCACTTACTGTAACAACTTCACGGTGAGGACTGGCACCTATTTTTCTAGAGAAAAAGCACTGGTTGAGGCAGCTAAGGGAGGAATCCACTTGGTGGTAGTGGTGATAACAAAGTGAAGGAGTTGATTGCTTTGTTTCCTCTCTTCTCCCTCAGAGGTACAGATTCAGCCCATGCCATCACAGGTAGTCAAAGCATTTATTTATTTAAATAGTATGCTTTCCTGTTGCTCCTTACAAGTGACTAGGGCTATGCCAGCGAATTCCTCCAACGAAGCTTGTAAACGCGGTGGGGGGGGGGAATGCTTTCCTGATTATGTTTGTTTGTTTTGTGCCAGGGCTGACTTTCAGCTCCCATTCCCAATGTGTAAACATCGTGTACCTGGCTGACTATACTGTTGCCAACCTGTTTAGGTGGAATGTTGCCTGCTCACAAGCGAGCCGGATATATGGCCTGGAGCTTGATTGCCAGAGAAGAATGAAGCAAAAAGGCAGCCAAGCTATGAAAGTATAACAACAGTTTGTGTCAGATTTGTGACTGCTGCCCCACCCCAACAGAGACAGTTTTATTTCTTAAGTAAGGTATGACCAGTGCTCTTTTGTAGGCCAAAAGGTGCTGGGACACTCCTCCCTCAGAAGACCCACCCCAGAGCCCAAAGAGGATATCTTTGGGCTTGGGTGGGGGTCTCCTCACGAGTCAGAGGCAGCCTGTGTCAGGCTATGTTCGCACTGCTGCCACATGGGCAGGCAGGAAGTAGGCAGGCTACTCCTTTCTCCCAGGAAGAAGAGGCAGTCTGTGTACGCCCCCTGCCTGTGCAGAGGCAGCTGAGGCATGGCTTCTTCATACTGCTCCACTGAGGGGCATACGGTTGTCTGCTGGTGGCAGGGGGAGTAAGGAACAACGGCAGTTTCACTCGCGATATACCAACATGTGATGCCGCCATTGTGCTGTGGCCTTCATACTGGGGATGTATCGCCCAGGCCAATTGCTGAGAGTGCTCAGCTGCGGCAAAGAGGGACTTCTGCTCCTCAGCTGAGCAGCTTAATGAGCTCCCACCCACCCACCCATCTCTCCTGCTCACGAGAGCAGGAGCAGCTGGGAGCTTGCTCAGCTGAGGCGCAGCTTTCCCACACATCAGCTGTTAGCTGGGAGGCTGAAGAGCCTCAGCAAAGCGCTGCTGCTGCCTGAATAACCTCCCTCCCTCCAATTTAAATGAATTGTTGTGTTTCAGGATTATAATTGGTATGGACAACAATTCTCTTACCTCCGTGTTAAATGCAAATCCCACTGGGGTTGATAAGAATTTAGCAACCTAACTCTGCATATTTTCTGTTTTGGTCTTTCCTTCATTTGCAAATTGTCATTTCCAAATAATTATATTAATATATGATATATTGACTGTATCTTGATATATGTATAAATGTGTACACCCCACCCCCACAATTAGGAACATAAAGTTTAGAAGTGACCCCCACCCAGGATGACAAAAACTTGTATTAAGGTGAGATGTTTCAGAGGCCAGTTATTCCATGTAAAAATTAAGCTGTGAATAGTAATGCTACCCAAGTTTTTGGGAAAGTAATTTTCAACTTTCCCCCCCATTTTGTTATAAATCATTTCCCAATATTCTTCTACCTTTTTACATGCCCACCACATATGAAAAAAAGTTCCCTCCATTTCTTTACATTTCCAACACAAGTCTGATTCTACTTTATACATCTTTGCCAACCTACTCAGAGTTAAATACCATCTATGAATCATTTTCAAATAGCTCTCTTTCAGTGAATAACACACAGTAAATTTTAGGTAATTTTCCCAGAGTTTCTCCCATTGGTTTAGATCTTTAACTAGCTCATCTTTTGTTTCCCATTCTAATAAAAAGTTATACATTTTAGACTAAAGTTTATCCTTATTCTGTAATAATTCCTTTTCCAATTGTGAGCTTTGGTCCAAGAATGCATTTTTTTAATAAAAAAAATCTAACTTAAACCTGTCATATAAGTGGTGGTATTGTAACTAATCTGTGACTTGACTCCTTCAGTCTTCCAATCAAGTGCAATTCATATTGTGTAGTGGCATCTAAAAGGTCAGTTGTGAGCTCACAATTTTTTTACTAAAAAAAATTTCAGGCTTTAATTTAAAATAGCAGGATAGTGCAAGCCCAGCACTGAGCATGATGATGATTAATGATACTACAAAAATTATCCTTAACAAGAGTAAATTAGTAGATTTGAACTCACCACCCCCAATTCTCAATACACAGACCTCCACCTTGTACACGAGATGCTCCATTAGCTGGGCTAATGTGAAAGGAAGAAATTGTGTCTCTACAAGACTATATAGTAAGGGAACTTGATTTCCCCCCCCCATGATAGATCTAATCAGATATATTCATGATTTCCTTAATTATGGCAGTTTATTCCAATTCATTTAGTGTTTTTTGTAAGAGCTGCACTTGTTGAATTGCAGAGAGAGAAAGTTGTAGCATGTGAGAGATCATGTACACAATTCCTAAAACAATTCCTGATTAATATTAGCACAGCAACTAATTATAAACTATGAGATATATATGCAAGTGTGACAAATCGAAAGTCCAACTAAAAAGAATATATATATGGGAAGAGAGTGCCATTATGACCTCATCAAAGCATGGGAAGTAGGATGAAAATTGTTTGCCTTAGGTTTGGAGCGTATATGCAGTGGGATAGCCAAAGACCAGAGAGATAGAGTAACTGTTCTTTTGAAGTCCCATCCCCTGCAAGCTTGACACTATAGAAGGATTTTCAACCCTCTGATGTACAGAAGTGAATGACTTCAAAAGAAAGTATTTGGAGTTTATGCAGGTGAAGCAGATGCTCAAAGGGAGAGTATTGTGGAGCTCGACTTCTTTGTCTGTATACTAACAACATTTTATCCCTTCTTCTTTACAACAACAGATCAAGAAAGCCTCCTACTGGAATTTGATTTATATATGTAGAATATCTTCCTATTGCTGGCCTGCGGGGGAGAAAGTAGCTAGTTTGGCACACAAGAGAGCATACAGATATGTTTTCTATACACTAAGCCCACAATTTATGCCCAGTTAACTTGTGCACATTCAGCTTTACATGTGTGGTAAATCAATCAATAAATATAAAGGGGTGGAAAGCGGGCAGAGTTCCAGGAAAAATGATTTGGTAGTCCCACCCACCATTGAACCCAATGGGTTTTGACTATACACAATTTTTGCTTTAGGTGCAACCCCTGGCCAATAACCCCCACCTAAGTTATAGGCTTACTGTACATCATACATAAGGTGTTTTTTCCCTCTGTTGTGTGGGATGCTATATGAAGCGCATTGTGTCCATACATACAGAAATATGTATAAAACCAACAACACTGGGTTTATTTACACGTTGTCTGATAGGATTTAGCAATGTGTTAATGAGATAACTCGAAGAATTTTCCCAGTGAATAATAACGGGAAGGAAGAAATCTGCTTACCAGCAACTCAGTAAAATAAATGGAAATCTTTGGAATCGTGCTGATTCTGTACATCTAGTTTACTGTCATCTGTCATGGAATCATAGGGCAGGATTCAATTCATGAGTGCTGTCAGCAGTGGTAGTGCTATAAGGATGGTATTTTGCTTCAGCCAGGCATGGTCCAAATTCAGGGTGTGCTTTTAGGTGGCATGATTTACCGTAAGTTAGAGGATGAGAAAAGTATCTGCATGTTCGGAGTTCTCCTGTCATTATGCAAAGTGAATGCGGCATGTGAGCAAAGGATACACATCATGCAAACTAAAATTGTCTTTTTCTGTGTGCTTAAGTCATTGCTTAGCACGCTGCCCAGGAAATGTGGGAGTTAATACTGGAGTTAAAGCACTTGCAGGGATGCTGAAAAGACCAGTGAGGCTGAACTCCATGGTGACAACAGAGCCCAATTCATATATTCCCAGACTAGTGTACCTATGGCTTCACAGTCTCTGGATCCCACACTGCTCTAGAAATTATCTCTGAAGTTAGGTGTCTTAAATTGCTACAGGGGGGACATTAGAATATGAGTAGTTTGTATCACTGCAGCCTTCTCATATTCTAGTGTTGCTTCCATGGTATTTTTGCACTTAAGAAACACTGCTATGCTGCTGTAGTTTAATTATATACATCTAGGCTAGAGCTGCAGGCTTAAATGCATACAATGTCTGCCCCCACCATATATAAATAAATAAATAGATTTTTTTTTAAGTACATAGTGTTTTGATTGTACTGTTGTCTTTATGTGTGTCCCCCGCCCCAGGCAACCAGTGTGAAGTGGATATAGATGAATGCGTTTCAACACCTTGTCTCAACAATGGAAGCTGCGTCGATGGCATCAGCTACTATAAGTGCTACTGCCGAAGTGGTTTTATTGGAATAAACTGTGAAACAAATGCTGATGAATGTTTGTCAGCGCCTTGTCTTCATGGAAGGTGGCTATTTTCATCTTTTACTATTATTACCCATAAGAAAAGAAGGGGAAGGGGAAGAAGAACTAGCAACATTTAAGATTTAATGTCAGGGAAGGTTGCTGAAGATACTTCTAATTATGCTGTTCCATAAAGTAAAAGTACAGCCACAGTTAAAGGATGACAGATGTTGCCAGTTTAAGCTAATGCAATATAGTGGGTACATTATCTCATTTCTTCTTTCATTCGAGTGCAATAACATAAAGTAATTTTCAATAACTGTGCATTAATTAGACTTTAATATACTTGCAAGGAGTTCTTCAGCCTTTGCATGCCAGCAGGTTGAAAGAGGATTCTTCTTTGGAGCGCAAGCATATGTGTGGAGGTTTAAAATACTTAGGAACAAAGAACACAAGAATCTTCCTTTTTCCAAGTTGGACTATTGGTCTAGCCAACTCAGTATTTTCTGCAAGGACTGGCAATGGCACTCCAGGGTTCCAGCCCTACCTGCAGATACCAGGGATTGAAGCTGGGATCTTTTGCATGCAAAGCAGATGCTGTACCAAAGGGTGTTTGGTCATGACACAATACAGTTATAGGGACAGTTTCTATTACGTCGAGTGGAGTACGTACAGGATTAGCCTGAGATTTGTGTATGAATACAATGGATTAATGTGAATGGTGCTGTGTTGTGCAAGTGTGGCAAGTGACCTGGATGTTCTCTTTCAGATGCATTGACCTCATTGATGGGTATCGGTGCAACTGCGAAGCGGGGTGGACCAGTTCAAGATGTGAAATTGACGTTAATGTAAGTCTTCTCATTAAAGCAGAGGCCATTTGCACACACGAACCCATAAAATACCAAAGCTTTTTACAAAAGAAGTACTCCCTGGGTTCTCAACACTGAGGAGGTGGCAAGGGTACAAAAGTTTCAGTAGTCTGGTCATCAGGGGCAACCATATTATTAGGTCCAGTGCCTCAGGGGGAGAAAGGCTGCAGTGTTTCCCCTCCATTCACTACAGAGTGCAGGAAAAGCATTAAGACTCAAAGGACTGATCTGCAGAGATGGTGCCTAAAGGGAACAAAGTACATGTTCCAGGTCCTTTCACAGTAGCTGCCTTCAGCATAAGGGTCACATCCACACAGTGCATTTTAAGTTCATGACCAAAGAATCCTAGGCATTACAGTTCACCCCTCACTGAGCACCCTTAAGCCTGAGCTCCCATGATTCTTTGGGGGGGGAGCCATGTGCTTTCAATGTAAGGTGTGGTAGTGACCAGAATGTGTCACTGAATTCCAGTTGCTGTTGGCTAGCAGTGGATGAGGACTGTTGATTTCAAGTCCTTCTTTTGAGATTCTTTGAGCCGCATGGTTAGCCACAATAAGAAACAGGATCCTGGCTTAATGGATTGTTTCAGTTTCCTGTTTAAAGCATTAATTGACTCAATATGTAGCACATTTGTGCTAGAAAACCTTTTGTTATAATTGTTCGTAGGGATATCATAGTGCTTGCTATATGAAACCATTCAGTAATTTGATAGGTCACTGGGGATTTACATTCATACTCTATTTACTACCTGCAGTCAGAGCTCTGTATTCTTTTGAACTTTTCCTATTGCATTGGATGTTCAGTAAGCATGTCAGTGAGTCGACCATGTCACCAGAGCATAATATGAACTAATTAGCTGTTTTAATTCATCATATTCCTGATGCCACACGGGTTGTAGCATACCACAAGTTCAACACTCAGATCCTGAAAACAAACAGTTGTTCCTAGACTCTTTTTGAGATGCCATTAGCAAAGTGAAACATATCAGTAGTGGCTGGTTATAACTGGGGCTGGTGGCACACAGGGCAAGGCAGCTTACTAATAAACAGAACCAGGATAAACCATAGGCAATAATGAACACTGCATTGCTGCTATCCTACTGTGTGTCTTCTTGCACTTGTGGTCTGAACACAGTAGCTTGACCAGGTTTGACCGGATGCAAGCAATGCAACCAGGTAAAATCAAGTTTCTTTTCTCCATGACAGCTCCTAATAATGAATTTAAGAAGTGCTCCCTTTTCTTTGTTATTGTTGTGGCTTTTAGTTTACTGTGCCCCATCCCCAGATTTACATTTTAATTGTTTATATTCTTTTTTTTTTTTTTTTGGTAAACTTCCCTGGGAATATCACTGAAGAGTGGTATAAAAATGCATGATAAATATTCATACTGGCCCAAGTGGTTTCACCGCATTCCGTCTCAGAAAGTAGCTAGTTATATGAGGGAGGATGGAAGGATTCAGGAATCCTTAAGTGGTGTGACTCATCCCGGAAATGGCAGTCATCTGCACAAGTTCTTCCACCTTGGCTTTTTTGTTACTCTTCAGAAATGTGTCCCTGTGTAATTATCTCCGGTTAATGTTTGTGACTTTTCTTTAGGGAGCCTGACTTATTTGATTTTCCATTCTCATTTGTTCCAAAAGAGGCATTAAATTTTCTGCAGACCTTGTAACTTAATTCATTAAGGAACAGATGCTGATTCCTTCTGTAGTACTAGCAGAACTGCTTTATGTTTGTGTTGTTTCCCAGATTAATGGTGCTACATTTGGGGAGCAGGGAGGAGATATTTAGATTTTCAAAAGAAAAGAGAATTTTCAAATGCAGTCTATGTTGCCTTTGAGCACAAGTTTTTTTCTAAAATTGCCAGTGCAGGAAACCTGATCCAGATCGCAATCCAGACTTGGTGGAATAGAAGAGCTTCCAGCCCTTTGCTCCAGCTGTAGTAGTCTAGAATGGGCTAGAAGAACCAGGAGTAGCTGAACTGGGAGAACCTAGGCTGGAGGAGGACCTCCCCTTTCCACCCCAACTTCAGTCACTTTGGAAAGGCAGCAGGGATAGTGGATCTTTCCTCCAATCTTCCTGCAGACCTGGAAGCCCCAGCAGAGGCTGTGGAGGGCTTTGATCAGACATGGGAGGAATCTAGGTGGCAGTTACTGAACAGGAGTCTAAGCAGGAGAGTGCAGTCTTGTTGCTTATAACTTGACGCAACCTTCACAGATGGAAGGAGACCCACCCATCCCAACAGGAGTATATGCTTCCAAATATGATATTCCCACAAGGCAAAAGCTTGGCAGGAGGGGTGGAGAATTTGTTGGGACGTCTGTATTGCTTCTGTCAAGTTCTGAACTTCTTGCCATGCTCCTGAACTCCAGGATTTGGACTCCTGAGTACTACATCCACTCCTGAGCCTTACTTGACCAAGTAAATATCTCTCTCTTACTTCCAAGTAAGGGCCTTTGTCTGTGAGTGTTGGGTGGAAGCAGCTGCCCACACTTCCTGATGTGAAAAAGCCCCATGGGAAGAGTTATCTCATGACATCTTTCCACAGGGCTTTAATCAAAGTGCATGAAGTCTAGCTACCAAGTGCCTGAAATTGGTGCGCTTGCAGGTTTTGTTCTTAAAGGAAGTTCTTCCTTTTAACTCCTGTTCCCCTTTCCTCCCAAAAAGTATTTCTGCCTGGTTTCTTTAAAAGCACAAATGGATACACTTAAAACAACCACAATTAACAGCTGCTAGAAGCTTCTGTTGAAAGCCCAGCAAAGTGTGTCGTAGGGTCTTCAGGTATTGCTGACACCTGAGAAAGCTGCAGGGTACAGACCAGTAGAAAGGTTATTTGTAGAAGGAAGGAAAGGACACTCACAAACACCCCTTGTCCACCAAAAGCTCATCAAAATGAGAATTTGGCTTGCATTTTCCTTGCTTTTTGATAATTTTCAAATACATTTTCTCTTTTTGTGAATTAACGGGGAATAGGTTTTTTTTAAAAAAAAAAACAAAACCAAAACCATGGAAGAAATGTTGGGCACAACCCTAATAAAATTTTCAATAATTTGACGTTTGATAAGAAAACAGCACCTCGTGCCTGTTTTTATTCTCAGCTTCTTTTTCAAGTTTGATACTTCCTGATGATTTTTATGCTTTCTCCAATAAACTATTATTTTAGGTTGATTTGTTCTCCATAAATTTTGTAAAGAGCATATAAGAGAACAAAGCTGCAGGAATAGTTTGAAATGCTAACAAGCTACGGGGAATGCATGGAAAGAAATAAAAAGCACTCCTCTATTTTTGGCTAGCAAGCACAGAACACCTCTTAATTTCAAACAGCAGACTGTTCTTTTCTTTTCTTTTTAATGACTTTGAGTTTCCCATTAAGTATTTTCATTAATTTATTGAAAGACTAATGTTCAAACTATAGGTTCAAATTCTTTGGCAGTATACAAAGTTTCCCATCCTTCCTATGGGATGTATAATTCAATTACTTTATGTAATGCTTTCTAATAAATCATCCTATACATCCCAGCTGGTTTGCTGATAGGAAAAGCATGTTGTTTTCACACCAGTCCCCTTGGGTTCAGGTATTTGCATTTAAGTAAAAGTAATGAGTATATCGGAAAAGGAAATCTACTTATCCTTGCTCTTGGTAAACTGAAAAGTGTTCACTAGTTTGGAGAAGTTAGCAATAACCCTCCGCCCCACCCCTTCAAAAACAAAGAACTGTACTTTCAGGTGACTTGTGTTGATTATCTCAAAAGCCTGGATGACAGCAATTAACAAACTTTATTGAAGATGAATGCATTCGTCAATCGGGGAGTGGAGAAATTCTGATTCATTTTGGCAATTACACTAATTGTGCTTTCCTGTAGTTTTGACGCAGTAAAAGTTAATTTGCCACAAGGTTATGTTATGTAAATGTGCCAAGGTTTTCATTGGATTAGGAGAAAGTATTTGTCACTATATTTATGTTATTATTTGAATAAGGATCAGTACGTTTGCTCTTATACATTTTTTCAAACTCTAACTTTTCAAAGCAATTGTAAAGAATTGCCCTCATCCAGTTTTCCATGTGAGGGAAGAAAAGGCAGCCAACTGCATGCTCACACAGCCCAGTTGCTTCTAGCATTATTCATTAAATGCATATCCTACCTTCTGTCCCAGGAGCTGAAGGCAGCATACAACATTCTTCTCCCTCCTCCATGCGAGGTAGGTTAGAGAAGGGGGAGCTCAGTGTCACCCAGTGAGCTTCACAGCTGAGTGAGGATTTTAACTGGAATCTTCAAAGTCCTCATCTGGCACTCTAACCACTATACAACACTACCTCTCAGTGGGAGAGCACTTGAGTCTTAGCCACACTTGCGATGTGGATGTTGCTTTGGTGTTCCCATCATGCATCTTCTGAGTGAGACTATAGGTGCTGGCTGCCTTCTTCTCCTTCCCAAGAGGCTATTAAGAGGACAAGAGGAAGTCCCTCTGAGTGTTGCAGCAGACACTGACCCATTTATAGTTTCCTGGGCTCTTTTGCTACATACTTTCTTGGACTAGGTCCAATGGGCTAGATTCAGCTAATGGATTCAGCTAATGCTAAAGGAAGCTCCCGCAAGGACTTTTGCTACAGCAAAGGGGCTTTCCCACTTTTCCTCCACCCATACTTCCAGAATTGTTTGATGGAATGTTTGTTACGGCACAATGTTGAATTCTTCCCAACTTTTTATCTGTATACAGTCATACCCTGGAAGTCAAATGGAATCCGTTCCAGAAGTCTATTCAACTTCCAAAACGTTCGTAAACCAAGGTGCAACTTCCGATTGGCTGCAGGAAGCTCCTGCAGACAATCAGAAGCTGCATTGGACATTCGGGTTCCAAAGAACATTTGCAAACCGGAACACTCACTTCCGGGCTTGCAGCATTTGGGAGCCAAAATGTACGACTTGCAAGACATTCAACTTCCAAGGTATGACCGTGTGTGTGTGTGTGTGTGTGTGTGTGTGTTTGTGTGTGTCTGAGTACCAAGATATGACAATCAAGAAATAGCTAAATATGTCATATACCCTTGCACTATTAACCATTGCTTCTGCTGCCTTGCCATTTTCTTCAAACACTCCTAGTTCTCAGATACTGCATATTTAAATATTGTAGTAGATAATAATTTTGTTGAGCAGCATGACTAATATTCTTAGGAAAATGCAACAAAAATTCTTTTTGGTTTTTTGTTGTTGTTTTTTTGCCACCATTGATCAGTGGGTATTGGCTACTAATGCAGAAACAATTTTTTTATTTGCCATTAAATATCAACAACCTCAGATATGCAGATGACACAACCTTGATGGCAGAAAGTGAGGAGGAATTAAAGAACCTTTTATTGAGGGTGAAAGAGGAGAGCGCAAAATATGGTCTGAAGCTCAACATCAAAAAAAACTGGCCACTGGCCCATCACCTCCTGGCAAATAGAAGGGGAAGAAATGGAGGCAGTGAGAGATTTTACTTTCTTGGGCTCCATGATCACTGCAGATGGTGACAGCAGTCACGAAATTAAAAGACGCCTGCTTCTTGGGAGAAAACAATGACAAACCTAGACAGCATCTTAAAAAGTAGAGACATCACCTTGCCAACAAAGGTCCGTATAGTAAAAGCTATGGTTTTCCCAGTAGTGATGTATGGAAGTGAGAGCTGGACCATAAAGAAGGCTGATTGCCGAAGAATTGATGCTTTTGAATTATGGTGCTGGAGGAGACTCTTGAGAGTCCCATGGACTGCAAGAAGATCAAACCTATCCATTCTTAAGGAAATCAGCCCTGAGTGCTCACTGGAAGGACAGATCGTGAAGCTGAGGCTCCAATACTTTGGCCACCTCATGAGAAGAGAAGACTCCCTGGAAAAGACCCTGATGTTGGGAAAGATGGAGGGCACAAGGAGAAGGGGACGACAGAGGATGAGATGGTTGGATGGTGTTCTTGAAGCTACCAGCATGAGTTTGATCAAACTGCAGGAGGCAGTGGAGGACAGAAGTGCCTGGCGTGCTCTGCTCCATGGGGTCATGAAGAGTCGGACACGACTAAACAACAACAACAATTCTAGTGTGATATATGAAATATTAAAATGTGTAGCATTTGTCACACAGTTGTTTTCAACTTCGTTAAAATTTCTCTCATCCTATCTCAGCATTATACCCCACAGTATCCTCTGTACTATGTAACAATAACCCCGCCACAAGCTGTAAAATAGTAGCATATAATTAACAGCATATAATTAACACTGCATTTATGAAGTGAGTAAGAGATCACATATAAAGACATAAATGATGCATGCGGAACTTTAGTCTCCCTACCCCCCAAAAGCTATTTGGAACAGACTGACAGCCCCACTGGGCATGCATAAGCCATTCTGCATGCCATACAGAGCTCTTTGGATTGTGTCTGCTGAATGAATAAATGAGTAAATATCAGCTCAAGGGAAGAAAAATCTATACGGCTCCTCAGATGGGACGTTAATTTTGAAATCTTACCATATCTAGGTGATTAGAGTTGCTGATACCCTTTTAATCTCTGTTGTTTTGTTAACTCTTGCCCTGATCTAGCAAAGGAGATCTGTATGTGGTGTGGTTTTCAGTCTTCCACAGCGAAATCTGCTGCCTAGACTGGAAAATGGCAATCACAGCTAGCCTGAGGCATTTTGCTCCCTAGGCGAAGGGCAGGATGGAACCCCCCACCACCCATTCCATGCACAGAAGCTGTCTGGGGTGGCAGTTGACTCTTCAACCCTTGTAATAGGCCACCACAATCCTACACTATGTCTGTAGGATGGAAGGAGAAGAAATGGAAAGTCCCATTGTACTAACAGAACTAGATGCTTGGAGCATTACAGTTAAACTTCACCATGTTACCATTGCTTTGAATAAGAACACTTACACTATGATTACTATCACTTGGAATGGCATAGCCAATACAATACATGGTTTCTGTTACTTTAATAGTATAGTTATCTGGGTTTCAGCTCCTCTCCCTATTGAAGTCTAAAGCCAGTTTTCCTGTAGCACGTCTATCCATTTAATACTCAGCTAGGCACTGAAGACTAGACTTGTAGTTTTCCTCCTCTCTCCAGATTTTGGCTTCCCTCAGGACTTCTGCAGCAGTCTTCCTCTGGTCCAGCAACCACTGTTGCCTCAGGTTCTTGACAATCCTGCTGATGCTCAGCTGAAGAACTTGGCTGAGGGCTGCTTCTGGAGTCACAACTCTTCCTTGCACCTTCTCAGCTCTAGCCAGTAATGCCAGCTCTCGGTCACTCTCAGGCTTCCTGAGCCTCTCTGAGCCACTTATTAAGTCTGCTGTCTGACTCTAATGTCCAGCTTTTCCTTCAGCTTAACCAATAGCCTCTCTCAGCAATTCCCTCCCCTTGACCAGAGACTAAGCTCTTTGTTCTCTCTAGCCGGCCAGTCAGCCACCGCCATCTTCGCCGGCCAGTCATTTCAGCTTGGGTAGGATTCTGCCCCCTCATCGGCATATAACTGGCCCATTTGGATGAGGTAAAATGTCCACCAACTAAACAATCGGATCTCACCAGTTTCTGATGCTGTATAAAAAGACGAAAAGAGGGTATATGGATAGTTTAATCCTTTACATCCAACTATGTAGAAATCTTTTATACTTTTTTTTAAAGTTGCCTCTGAAACAAGATGGATTTTCACAATGCCACTCCTCACACCCTCCTCACATCTGTGGCTTGAGATGGCTGCCTCACTGTGCCTAATTGTAAGGTGCTGACATGAGAATCCTTTGCCTAATTTTTGTTCTCAGCAACTGGGGCTGCATTTAACACCCAGCACATGTGAAATTTGAATGCTCATATGGCATTCACAATACGTAATTCTCATCAGTATATCCGTCTTTTGGTACAGATGGGTGTCTCTGTGTTTTTGTGTGTAGCTTTCTGCTATCAGGAGCCACTGCACAGAGTTATCACTTGTGACTAGCTATATGTAGGGCTTTGCTGATGTATGTGAAGGTCACTAGATCTTTATTTAGAGTGGCTAGAAATCTTCCACACTTGCCAACATCTGTATAATCACAGGAATTTATAACTACTCATAAGCATATGCTTAACCTGTGATCAGGGCATTACAGTTAACCACCAAGAGATTTACTGATGAAGACCAGGACCCTGAGTCCATTGTTGTGCAGATACCCCTTTACAGGAAACAATCTTATGCTGCTAAGGCTCTGAAATCAATTTATTGTCATTTATCTCCTCAGGAATGTGAATCGGCTCCCTGTCTTAATGGAGGTTCTTGTCAAGATTTGGTCAATGCCTTTGAGTGCATTTGCTTGAGTGGATACACTGGTGAATTTTGTGAAGTGGATATTGATGTTTGCGCTGAACCTCTTCTGAACTCATCCCTCTGTTTCAATGGAGGCAAATGTGTTGATGGCCCAGGAAGAACTTTTTATTGCAGGTCAGTAGTCTGCTTACCTATAACACGAGCAATCAATATACATCAAGTTGTTAAGAAATCAGGAGGGGGTTATGTTATAGGGTCTTTTCTAAACCAACATGAATGTTGTGATGTTTTTTAAAAGGACCGTTGGAATCTGAAAAGGTTTAGCAATATAAGAGTTAACCTTTGTGATCTGTTTTGAGTTCTGCCTGATACCAAAAAAAGGGGGGTGTTATTATTTTAAGTAAACAACTACCGGTAACTGAACATCTGAAATACCTCCTCCTTCCCTACTGGGGTGCTGAGATTGGCCTGCAGAGGTTTGAGGGGGGACAGCCAAAGAGAGGGCATTCTCTGTGGTGGCCCCTAAATGGTGGAACTCCCTCCACACAGAGGTGCATCTGGCACCCTCATTTCACAGCTTCTGGTGACTGCTGAAGACACACTTCTTTACTCCAGTTTTTGACGCTTGAGGTGTATCTTTTCAGAACTCTCCTTATTTTTGTGTTTGTGTTAAACTGTTTTTAATATTGTGTTTTAATGTTGTAACCCACCATGGGCCATAGGGTAAAGTGTGGGGTGTTGTTGGTGGTGTTGTTGGTGTTGTTAAGAAACAAAATCACTCAATCCAATTGGGCCCTTGGTGTCATTTGCCCTTGGTGTCTTGATTCAGACACTGAGTCAGAGGCTACAGTGTCACCAGCTAAGAATTGGACTTTCCCACCCTCTCATCCCCTTGTGCATTCCCTTAAACTGTTCTTGGGGTTTTCCCTACCCTCCAGAGCAGATTTAGGGGGTGCAGGGGACACGGGAAGGAAAGGAGGGAAAGTCCCATTCCACGGGCAGACCTTGTTCTGTGCATGCAGCAACTTGGTTGAATCCTGCTCAATTGTTCTGTGGTCAGTGATGCATGATGTTGCAATGAATATCTTGAGGGCAAAATATGTGTAACACTTTCTGAAGTCACACTTTTTAATGTGCAAAAATCATATATAGTTATGAGATCTCACCCAAAATTACATGGTGCGTTTCAGTAGATGTCGAGACAATTGCAATTTTTAAGGGGACAAGTTCACCCATCCCATTTGTTCAGAAAATAAAAATCAGGCTGAGGTTTGTGATCTTGCCTTCTTCACTAACCATAGTCTAACTCAACCACAGCAGATCAAGAACTATTTTTAAGTGCATTCGTAATATGGCGTAGTAGTCGTATCGGGACTATACCAGCTCAGTTTCGCCCAAGAAGCCATTTAATTGAAATTATATTCACAGGAAAGTTAGGGTACTTCCTATGACAGAGTACTTGTAAACAAGTCTTCTCTCTGGTTTGGTAAGTTTTACAGAATTGCTGCTATTTTGCCCTATTCACACAAAAGGCTGGCGAAGAGACGGGAAGAGGAAAAGGACAGAAAAATCCAAATTCATGAATAATGTTACAGTGGTACCTCTGGTTGCGAACGGGATCAGGCCTGTTCGCAACATGAAAAGAGCGCAACCTGAAGCACCATATCTGCGCAGGTGCGTGGCATGATTTGGTGCTTGTGTGCATGCACAAAGTGCGATCTAGCACTTCTGCGCATGCGCAAGCGGTGAAACCTGGAAGTAACCTTTTCTGGTACTTCCAGGTTGCTGCAGGACATAACCTGAAATAACGTAACATGAAGCAAACGTAACATGAGGTATGACTGTATATGAAAATGGATATATTCAAACATATTAGACTTTTTAATAAGAAAGATTTAATGGGATCTGTGAAGGTAAATATATAGGTTGTAAAAACATGACTTTTTTCAACTGAAATGACAGCAGATATTATTTAAATGTATGACTTAGTTGAGACTCCTGCATTGTAGGGGGTTGGACTAGCCTTGGGGTCCCTTCCAACTCTACAATTCCGTGATTCTATTATTCTATGATTCTATGCTGAAGAAGGCATTGAATAGTGACTAGAATTTGCAGAGAGATTCAGCATAATGTGAGTTCTGGTAATGATTTAATTAATTCTTTGCAGGAATAAAAACTTAGATATACACAAAGCTTTCAACATTCTCTAGGCTGTTTTAAGGTGCATTTATCAAATTCTCTTTGTATTAGAAATAATACTCAGACTTCCACTTTGACTTACTCATCTATTGAAAAGCTTGATAAAAAGGAATTCTAATCCTTTGTGACAATTTTCTGTGTGAAATACTAATATAGTCTCGAAAGCATACATTTCAAGATATCATTGTATGTTTTGTAGTTGGTGGTCTGAAGCAAAGCTGAAAGAAGTTTATTAAGCATAATTATTATAATATAATGCCAACCATATAATAGTGGATTGTAACTTTTAACTATGTGGGGTAAGTAACCTAATAGGTTTGCAGCACAATCCTATATTTCTGCTTAGAAGTAAATCCCACTGAGGTTTATGAGGCTGACCCCCAAGTACATAGGTTAAGATTCCACCCTGAAAACAACAAATAATAATGAAATTAATGAATAGCTGTTTATGTGCATCTCAAAAATGATGCAAAGTGAACATCTAAGGGAAATACATTTTCAGCTAGCTGTGAAAGCTTCTTGGGACAGAACATTTCTTTAGTTGTTTCCAGAAAGTACAGTAGTGGGCATCTGTTGAATGTCAACAGGATCACTGTTCCACAGAACAGGGGCAGCCACACTGGAAGCCCTGCTCTTAGTTACTGAGGAACAGACTTCTGATATTTTAGGGACTTGAAGGAGAAACTCTTCTGCAGTGTGCAGAGACCTACTTGGCATAAGATGATCTCTTAAGTAGCTTGGACTTGAGCTGTATAGGGCCTTAGTACCAAAGTCTCATACCAGTAGCAGATTGGAGCCAGTGCAAAACACACAAACAAGGTGTGATATGCTGGTAGTAGTGTGCCCCCATAACCTAACCACCATGTTCTCTGTTAACTGCAGCCTCTGGCCCAGCCTCAAGGGCAGCCCCACATAGAGTTAATTGCATATGAGGTTACCAATTCATGGACAACTGTGGCCTAGCTAACCTGATTCAGAGATGGACATTACTGTCCTACCGCCAAGGCTGATAAGAGGCACTCCTGGTCACTAAGTACACCTGTGTCTCTAGTCTCACAGCTAGAGCTAGGAGCACCCCCTGGCTACACAACTGCTCTTCCAGGGAAAGTCTGACCCCATCCAGAGTAGGTTATTTACTGGGAAGCCAGACTCAGGAACTGCTCACCTGCAAGAGCCTCTATCTTGCCAGAATTCAGACTTGGTATATTAGCTCTCATCTGGCCCACCACTACATCCTGACACTGCTTACTCATCCATTCCTGAGTTAGTTATTACAAAAACATGGAGTTTGATGTCATCAGTCCACTCCAAATCTCCTAATGACCACACCCAGCAGATTTATGTAGATGTTAAACAGCACTGGAGGCAATATAGTGCCCTGAGGCACCTCATAGCTCAAGAGCCAAGGGACCAAGAAGCACATCCCATGCTATCTTCTGGAACCATTCCAGAACCATTCCGGAATAGTGACCTCAATACCCAACTCCCCAAAGACCAAGCAAGAACAGCACATTTCATCTTAAAACAAAACATACATCTGTAGATGTGGTTGTATGAATATTGGGGGGAGGGAATCAATTATTATTTTCTTTTTTAAAAAAAATGCTGAGTCCAAACCCATTCATATTCTGATGTTGTTCTTTTCTGAGGCATGTGCTTCTCCTTTGGCCTCTTAAGTCCTTGGCTTTATTAACCCACCCTACTGTTCCATTCTCTTGGCTATGGTGATCTATGTGATTTTGTTGATGGCGTCTGATATGATATAAAGAATATGAGCCAGACCCAGTGGGTTGCCTCACAGTCAATCAAATTAAGCAGCAGTGTGGGAAACGAGGGTGAAGACAGTGAGATCAAAGATAGTAGTGGCAAAAAGAAGAAGAAGCTGCTGCCAAGGGAACAAACAGGTGCTGAACAGTATTGAAATAATGTGGATATTTTGCAAGGTGAATAACACCCCCCCTCCATGTGTTCAGTCACAGTAAGTGTGCCTATCAAGAAAACATTGAAATCAGAGAAAATTTGATGAAATCCTAATTTAATCTCGCAGGCACCACTCATACATGGTGGATTTGTACTTCTATGGTGTAGAATTTGGAATTATGCATTGTTAGAGCTGGTATTGGATCCTTGAATAACATTTTGCATTCTAGCCCCAACTGTGTCTTCTCAGACTGTACCCAAACTGAAAAACAAAACAGTTCCTTACTCTTTATTGTCGGTAGAATTATCATGCTCGTGTCAATGAATATAAAGAAATGTATTTGTAACAGAGAAGGCAAAGCTGTGTGAGGCATCTTTGATTCAGACATAGCAAAGTTGGCCACGAATCAACCCAAGCCTGCAGGCAAAATTGTATCATAAATATGGAGCTAAAGAGTGAGCATGTGGTGAGCTATAGATCTTCTCAGATGCTAAGAGCTCAGTGTTTCAGCTCTTAACTTATTATACCATATAAATTTGCCCTTATCCTTGTGCCCCATTGCACACAAGTCCCAAAGTACTTTATGCAAGGTCACAAACAGCTGGCGTTAATGTCGAAAGCTATTAAGCAAATCTTTTCCTTCAGAATGTGGAGAGAACTATATTTATTGGGTTTTTACAAAAAAAAATATCAGAGGAACTGAATGTAAGAAAAGAATGATATCCTATCCGCTACACAAAAATTCACACACAGTAAGACATTGATCATTGCAGTTTACATGACATTTGTTTAACCTGCAAGTTAAATTACACAATAATGTTCTGTGTTTGACCTCTATGGATGCATGAATTCCTTGCCTGGGGCATCTCATAGCTGTAAGCAAGCAGGCGCTGTGACAATTTTTACTTTTTTTAAATGATATAAGTATATGCAAAAGTAGCACCTGGATTCCTAGCAAGCTGAATCAGCAGGTCTGTTGTACATGAATGTAGAATATCTTTTTGGTCTGTTGCATTTTTCAGATTTATACTGAAGTTCACAAAAGGCGAACCTT